TCTGCATTAAACTTTATTCCGTGCCCACAGTGTGAGATCCTCTGACTCGTAGTGATGGGGAGACCCAGGAAGGAGTCTGCTGGCACATCATCCCCTCGGCCGGCCACAGCTGCCCCCAAAACTGCCCCGGCCGCGCCACCACCTTCCACCTCAGCCACCCGGGCCAAGGCTACGAGTGCAAGCAGACAATCCCAGAGCACTCCAGCTGCCAAGGCTACTACCTCCAGCCAGGGGCGGGGGACAAAACCACACTCTGCGCAGCCAAGACCCACAGCATCCCGTGGAACCCGAGGAGATGCTGGGGACCAGAGCAGAGCACCTGCCAGGAGTTCCTCTACAACCCAGAAGAAGCTGCCAGATGCCAAGGGAGCAACTGGTCCAGCCAGACCTGACCCACATCCACAGAAGCAGCAGTCTGGGGCTGACCAGAGCAAAACCTGGAGCCAGTTCCTGCCCACTGTGAAGAGTCAGGACATCCCACGAGTGGAGGAGGAGACTCGGGGCCAGTGGAGCAACCCCAAGTGGTACGAGTGGCGGGAGAACCGCATCACGGCCTCTGTGGCCCCCAAGATCGCCAACAGCAAATTTGCCAACGGCAAGACAGATGAGGTACCCCGGTCCTACCTCAAAGCAGTGGTGAACCCTGGCCCAGGGGTGCAGACCCCGGCCATGTCCTGGGGGATCCGTAACGAGAAGGCAGCCGTGGAGGCCTATGAGCAGCTGAAGTCACAGGCAGTGGGGAAGCAGGTGCGGGTGGACGACTGTGGCCTCTTCATTCACCGTGAGAAGAAGTGGCTTGCTGCCAGCCCGGATGGGGTCATCAAGGAGGCAGCCACAGGGAAGAACCTGGGCCTGCTGGAGGTGAAGTGTCCCTACAAGCATAGGAACAGGACAGTGCGTGAAGCCTGCAAGGACAAGGACTTCTGCCTGGAGGTGGATGGGGACTCTTATGCCCTGAAGAAGGATCATGCCTACTTCACCCAGGTCCAATGCCAGCTGGCAGCCGCTGGCTTCCAGCAAGCCGACTTTGTGGTGCACACCAACAAGGAGACTGCTGTAGTCCCTGTGAAGTTTGACAGTGAGTTCTGGGGGCAGACAGTGACCAAGCTGGAGAAGTTTTACACGGAGGCAGTGATTCCCCATCTGGAGCAGAAGGCAGGTGGCTCTGTCTGGGCCAAGGAGGAGTAGATCCCTGCCTGCCTACTGTGGCTAGATGCTTGCATAGCTGTATAAACCCAGCTTTGCCCCCTAGCATAGTAATTACATCCAGGTTGGCTGCTGTTCCTGGACCATTCACAGCCTCAGGACTGAAATGTTGTACCAGCAGGACCCTGCTTAGTAAGGGTCCCCACAAACAGTGCCTTCTTCCTGCCCCAGCCAGGTTAGTGCTTGGCCCCCAGAGCCTTCTTGTCCTGTCCCACTCACTGCATCCCCCACCTGACCCAACACCATGCCTGATGGAAGCTGGTACACCACTGGATCTGCGAGGGAAGGCAGTGATCCCTCTGTGCTGGAGGAAGAGACTTATTTTCTGGAGAAAACTGGATCCTTTGGCACCTCATCTGCTATCAGGACTAAATCACAACTGCACTCCAGAGTGGAGACAGACAGGGAAGGTTTGTCAAAATCCAAGAGGAAAACTCATCTTTTGAGCTAAACAGTGATGTGCCTTAAATGTCAGAGTGAGGGTGCATGGACACCCTTCTGTGCTGAGCCATCAGACTGCTGCTTCTGTGATGTAACCCATGGCATTCCCCATGAGCTGGCTGCAGCCCTGAGAATGCAGTTCCCACTGAAAAGGTTGTTCCCCAGGCCATGCAGTTCCTGAGACTTTCCTGTGGAGCATTCCCATGCACTGTAGTAGGGTGGGGGAGGTGGTTCATTGCTCTATTAAATACAAGATGCACTGGCTCGTTCTTTGTTGTTTTTGCAGCTTGAGATTTACCAGGGGAGGGGATGGGGTGGGGGAAGCAGGGATGAGTAAGGTCCCCACACCAGGGCCCCTCAGCCACAGCAGAAGGGAAGCAGGGGAACACTAGGACACTAAACCCAAGGTCACTGAACTATGCCAAAGCCACTACTATTCTGGCAAAAGTATTTATTATATACATAAGACTCCAGTCACACTCCACAGGGCAAGGACCAGAACTTTCTATAATACAAAGTAAGTATAATACAAATTACCTATAATACAAAGTAACTGTAATACAAATGAACTGTAATACAAATTACCTATAATACAAAGGAACTATAAAAACATAAAGCACTTTTGGGGCCCAGGCTTTCCACAGGAGGAGAGAGGCACAGGGACGAGCCCGGGGGCTGCTGTGTGACAGGGGATTGTCCCACACCCTCCCCCTAGCTGTGGTCCCACAGTAACCAGATGTGCAAGTAGGAAAGAACCCAGTCAAGAACTATAGTCATGGGGGGCTGAACTGAGTGTCACCAGGACAAGGAATGGGGTCTGTGTCCCCCAGGGAAAGTGCAGAAGGCACATGGGCAGGGCTCTTTGGAGGGGCTGTGAGGAGGAGGTGGGAACCAACAGTTAGTGCATGTGGGGCCCCAGGAGATCACAAACACTAACGCACCACCCACAGAGATCTGCAGCTGGACCACCCTCCTCTCCCCCCCACACCTCTGGGATAACCGAGCTCTGTGGCCAACGGGATCCTCAGGGAGGACATGCATGGCAGCTTTAAGGAGTCAGAAGTGTGAGGGGGACAAGTCTGGCGCTGTGTCCCAACCCCTCCCCTGCCAGTGCATTGATTGTCTAAGTCTTCAGGTTAAAAAGGGGCCCCCAGCCTCCCTGCTCTGCAGGAGCTTCAGTCGACGAGGCGCTTACGGGGCACTGTCCGCGCTCGGTTTGAGCGGCGAATCTCCTGCTTGGCATCTCGGCATCGCTGGCAGATGAAAATGTCAGGCACGTTGGATTTGCGGATCTTGGCACAAGAGAGGTGGATCCAGGTAGCGCATTCATTACATTCGATCATGGGCCTCCCTGCAAAGGGCTTCATGCAGAAGCAGGTGATCAGATCCCAGGCATCGTCATCTGGTCAGGGAGAGAGAGAGACTAGTCAGAAACCACCTTACTAGCAGCAGGTCTGGCTGTGGCCAGACTAGTCAGTCCCACTGGTGGTAAAAGGGACAGCCCCTCACTCACCCTCTGCTTTGGTGTCAGGAACCTCCGCAAATTCAGCTGCTAAAGTTGCAAAAAGGGGAGAAAGAAAGAAATAGACACTAGATGAGCAAGGCAGCCCTGCACCCCACTTTTAGACCTCTTTCAGGTCTGTACCACTCACCTGCAGAACAGAGCTGCAAAGGCCAGGCCAGCTCCCTGCCCTCTGCTCTTCAGTCCCCCCAGGTCCCAGAGGTACTCCCCACCCTTGCTGGGAGAGGTTTGGGCCATCAACAAGCCCTTCCTGTTGCCAGCAAGGGACAATGTTTGGCACTGGCTTCAGCACAACAAGGCCCTCTGCACTCCCTCAGACACTCACCACTGAGCTGGGAGGTCCTTCTGCTTGCATCTTCCTCTTTGCTTTGGTCCAAGGTATTACAGGAACTTGGGCTTTTCCTCCCTCCAGAGGAGGAGTCATGCTCCTTTAATTGAGGATCATCTTCTGGCTTCTCGATCCCCTGAGCTCCACACATCGGCTGCTCCAGGACGGAGTTGGGCTGGGGATCCTCAGATGAGTTGAGAGAAGACTCCAATAGCTCCTCTTTCACAGGAGACAGCTGTCTCGCCAGTGCAGTCAGTTTCTTCATCCCATTCTGCTCTGCCCCAAAGTCCTTCCAAGCATTCAGTGGCCCCCTCCTCTTCAGCTCCTGCTCCAGAATCCGTTTCTTTGCTGGTGGTTTCTTCCGTTTGACTTGCTGGGGCCGGACACTGTAGAAGCCAGTGGAATAGGCAGAGCTGCTCATGA